GGTCTTCGGTCCTGTTCAGCAATAAGAAATTTCAGAAATCGAGTCTTCACGTAACACTAACCAAAATTCTAGAGAAGTCAACTGAGGCAAGATAGAAAGACAGAGAAAAGTTACAGGGCGTGGAAGAGGAGCCCCTCAACTTATAGTATAATTGAATTCTCTCACCAACCAAAAGTCAAGAGTTCTGGCATAGCTAACAAGATTTGCCGTGAAGAGTGCCTACATAGCGACAGTATTCCTTTTTATACACTTCAAGCAAAATGGTAATGAGTCATGTGACCTGGGAATTTAATCCTGCTCCTTTCCGCCTGCGTGATCCGCTGCATCTCAGAACACATTCCCACAGCATACGGGAAGGAACAACCAGCAGAGGAATGTTTCTTTAAAACCCTGTGAAGAATGTAACTTCGGAAGCCACCAAGTCATAGGTATTGCCTCTTGCAGAATACGTTGGTGTCACTTTCTCTGGAGAGGCCAGATCGATTTCTTGGGTATATACTGTTCTTCTTCTAAGAACCTCTCAGAGTCTCTCCCCTAAATTTAGTGGCCACCCTGAAATCACGTTAAAGCTCTCCTTAATGAGCTCCAACACTGCTTCCACAGAGAAAACATAAGTAAATTACTGATACATATTCCAGAAAAGGGATCATGGACTCGCAAACCCTTCCGAGATGTTCCAATCTGGTCTGTGTTTAGTCATCTACTCAGAGCTTTGAAGCGAGGGCGATTTCTTAGGAGGGAAATAGAAACAAACAATGGAATCCTAGGAACCAAGTGTGCACCAGATGCATAGCTGTCGGCCTGCCAGTGTGCACCTCCACGTCAACGCTTCTTCCTACTCCCTCAGAACTATTTGCTCACGCCCAGAACATCAATGATTATGTAAGATTTGCTGGAACTGTCACTGAAAAGTCTGAATGGAATTTACCCACAGCGACACACTCCCAGAGTCTGGTGACCAGTACCCCTTCCTCTTTCCACCTCTGCTCTTCTCAGTTGTCTTCCTTGATTCAGGCATTTCTGTTCCACATCACGCTCAGGCTCCCCAACCTCACCGCTTTACTCCTCAGTCAACACAAGAACACATTAAGGCCATGAGAAGCACCGGCTTAACCTTCTTGGAAGGTACATAGCTGGCCTCCACGGTAACATGAGTACCTCTCCACACGGAGAGCTAGGACGCTAGGCAGGGACGGCCGTGGAGACGTGCCCCAGGAGGCATTCCCGTGTTTTAGAGGGCCGAGTGTGAATGGTATCGGAGGATGGAAGGTCCCAACCAGATGGGACCAAGAACAAAGACCTTTTCCACATTTCATGAAAGGGTAAAAATCAGTTTTGTGCATAGATCATGGGAGTCCTTGCAGACAGGCAATATAAAAGTTGAGGACAGCCTCAGAGTCAACAGAGGAAGGTCATTTGAATACTCTGCAAATAGCCGTTTTGTCACCTATAATTTTATATGTTATGATTCAACATTCTGACACCAGGGAGGAAATGATATCGATAGCATGACCAGAGCTGCTTATGAGGCAGCAGTTGCCAGTGCAGAAGCGGTGGGCAGAGGTGCCTGGTTTCCACTGCAGATGACCAGACCCTCCTTGAGTCTGCTGGGGTATGTGATAGTGTAAAATTCCCAAGTAGCCACACCAGGCCTTCCCACTTCTGCCTGCTGGCCTTCTGAGCTGAAAATTCTCCGACCTACCTTATTCTTCAAAGGTACCTGCTCTGAAGTAAGCCAAAGGGCCCAAAGCCCAGGCTGCCGCCACCTCCTCATTTCTTTAAAAACAAACAAACAAAAACAGCTTCATTGGAGTATAATTTAAGAGGAGACTTGTCCTGCTTCGTGAGATTTAGTTGACTTGCCAAAATTTAGTTCAGTTGGGTTGGCAATAATACATTTTTCATAGAAGCAGATGCCTTGTAAGGAATTCATTTACTCCATGGTCCAGAATTATCAAAATTATAAAAGGATGCTTCAGCTAAACAAGACTCACATATATGTGACTCGAGTCAATGTTGGGTAATGCCTGAATGAATGGGTAAATCATCAGAACCTTTTCAGTGTTTGAATTCTCCCACTCTGGTGCAGACTGGAAAGTTCCGTTATTGCACAGCTGTAGGAATGAAACATAATATTTAAGTATGCCTTTTTCTCAATGGGAAATGTTGCCAGTTTAGTTGCTATTCTGTATTAGGTGATCTATAATGGATCGTTGATGTGAATGCTGAGCTTTTGGATTAGATAAGAACATTGTACAGTCTCTTCACAGAGGGGAGTGGGGATCTAGCCCAGCTGGTAGAGTGCTTGCCTAGGATGCGTGAAGCGCTGGGTTGGATATACAGCCTAACCTAAACTAGACATGGTGGGGCAAGCCTACCACCCCAGCATATTGCAGGGAGAAAGCAGGAGAACCAGAAGTTTCAAGGTCACCCGTGGCCATATACAAATTCCAGACCAGCCTGGGATCCATGAACCCCCCCATCTCCAAAAGACAAACCGTGAATGGGACTCATAGGCAGTAGTAGATCATCAGTCGCTCTGTCTACCTGACCCTCCTGGAATAAACGCCTAACAAAACCAACCCCACCAAGAATTTACCTGGAAGTAGCATAAGGCTAAAAGAGCCCTAGAGAACCAGCTATCTGTTGTCATGATTTTGCAGGTTGGTGGCATGCAGCAGAATAGTTTGCGTGGGGCACAAACTATTGAGGCTTTGAGGCCATGCCAGTGGCTATGATGTACTTTTTTAAATAAGCTGGACACCCGTTGCTCTTGAACTAGATCAGGGCACTCTTCCCCCAAGGTGACTACTGGACTGCATTTGAATAAAAGTTCCTCTGGAGGTTTCTTAAGGATCATGGTGAATGTTCAAAGATCTGCAGGGCTGTTAATGGGATGCTAAATTGATTACCAGGCTGCTGTGGTGGTGTTTAAACTGTTCACTCAGCACTTGTTCTCCTTGGCTAACCTCGGCCGGGCTGAAGGCCTTTTTGTGAACCCATGTAAAAACAAGCAGGGCATTAAGGACTTCTGCTTAACAAACCTTAGGAGGTTTGCGTGCACTCAGATCTGTGAAAGGACATTTAATAGATACTACATAAAGGGGCACTTTCTGAAGGAAAAGAAAATGTCATTCTGCTTAGGGCAAATAGATGTGGAAGCTGGGCTGTCTCGATTTGCATATTCACCACCTCACCTTCAAAAGGTGCTGCTTCGCACCAGCCCCATCCACAGAAGGCATCTCATTTGTGTAGCCCTGGAGGTTCCTCAGAGCCTGGGGTGGACATCTGTGGACATCTGGCCTGTAGAGGGGGGAAGGCAAGGCCGGATGCCAGATGCAAGGTGGGGAGAGGCAGATTCTTTGGAAGGACAGGCAGGGAGGGCCCTGTGCTGCTGGCAAGTGAGCGGTTCTTTTGATTCAGAAGCATACCCAGCCTTAGCTCAGCTTACATCTGCTCCGGTGAGTCTGAGGTTCTAGCGCATGGAGCACAGGCTGCCTAGGACGTGGGGCACAGGGGACCAAGGTAACTATAATTTTCCAAAGGGTGCAGCCTGTTACCCATTTCTACGCATGCTCAGTTTCTGTAGGCTTACAGCACTGATATATTCCAGATGTTTCTTCCTTCCCTCTGGCTATTATGTCTTGGTTCACCTTTCAATAAAATTGAGATACAATTCTGATAGAGTCTTAGGCATGTTAGAATCACTCATCAGTAGGAACCGATTTAATATCAGACTATGTAGTACTATGTATAATATCCTCTTTGACTGTGAATAACCTCAATACTGTTCAAACTAAATGCTGAAATAAAAGGCAAGAGCATCCTTTGTGTAGTATTTATTTTAATAAGGTGCAATAGTTAGTAATAACCTGTGTGTAGCGCTTATAGTTTCAAATCACTTTGTTTATGGTACCTTCTGTAATACCAGACAAATCTGTGAATTATGTATTGCTTTTATCTTCAGTTTAGAGATAAGCAAATGGATGCTTGAGCCCCATTCCACCCTTTAAGGCCATATAGATAATAAAGAGCAGGGCTAAATCTAAACTCAGACTAAAAAAACAAAAACAAACAAACAAACAAACAAAAACCAAAACCTGGGCACTTTACATAGACCTTTTGCTAAATTTACCACAGGGTCTGGACTCTTCCCCCTCCCCCCCATCCCCAAATGACATATAAGGAAAAAGAAGGCAGCTGGAGAATACATTTCTTAAAGAATGTAACTTTTCGCACAGTCTCCAGCCAGCAATTTTTTTCCAGTGGGTGCTTTCCTTTCGGTTATGTTACTTGAGGCCCCCTCATCCTAGGGTTGGTGCTGAAACGAGACTCAGTAAAATAAATACCTCCCTCAGACAGGTAGGCTGGTGGAAACGGTTTTCCCTGAAGGGTAAACCAGGGCCCCCCCAAATCTAAGACAACTTCTTCTGAGCCAGGTAGGAGCCAGGTGGGGAGGGGAGAGCAGGAAGGCTGCTGTTGTCTAGGCCCTGCCGCCCTTTGCCCTTATATCACCCGCCTGTCAGCATTTCCCAAAGCCAAAGAGGCCTTTAGGGCCCCGGCAGCTTGGATGGAGAGAGCCAGCCAAGCGTAAGGGGCCTCTGCCTACCCTGCCCTACTTTCCTCAGAGGCCATTCCTGGCACTGGTGAAGTTGTGCTTTGCGAACAGGACCCTTTCCAACGCTCGCACAGCATCTGTATCACTAGACTGACAGTCTGAAAAGCGTTTTCATTACTCGAGGCATGTAAAAACCCAAGACAAGGGGTGTCAAAAATGTCGCTCCCAGATGCAGTGCGCGCTTGCCCCATGCCCTTCTGCCCTGCACCACCGTTCTCTCCAGGGCACCTTTCCTTCCCTGGGCCCCACCTGCCCGGTCGCCTCCACCCGCAGCAGCCCCTTGGGGGGCGGACTCCTGTGGCCCAGCCCCGCGTGATTCGTCACTCCTGCGGAACTTTCCCCTGAAAATCCCTCCCGCAGTCAGCCGCCCGCCCCGGGAGGTTCTGCTCTCAGAGGCTTCCTCCCACCGTGTCCCGCCCGCGCACAGCGCACTCGTCTGGGAGCCTCGCAGCCCCACGTCCATGTCCGCGGCGGTGGCGCCTGCGGCTGTGCACCCCGACAGCATGCTCTCCGAGGCTGAGGAGTCCAAGGAAGGTACGCCAGCCGCTGGACTCCGCCAAGTTCAGCGCAGGAATGTGGAGGAAGGCGGGAGCAGTAGCTGATGGGAGCTCCAGGCGAGCGGTGGGGAACTTTGTCTCTTCCCCAGCCTGGCTGGACCTAGAGAGTAGGCAGCCCTGTCCCAGCAAACAGGCAGCTAAGGGGCGAGGGAGCCAGCGTCAGACCTAGCCACACCAGCCCACCAAGGCTGCCTTTCAGATTTCTCTCGGAAGGAGAAGGCGAGCTTTGACTGTTCGGAATACAAAACGCGCCTGGAATGGGCTGCTTGCCTGCCTGGGGACAGCCCAAAGCTAGATTCCCAGGAAGAGTCTAAGTCCGGGTCCCTTTGAAAGGGGGTGTCAGGAATTGGAAGGGACGTGCATTTCCGGCTAAAAGGGGAAACTGAGTGGGGAGAGAAGCGAAAGATCTTTATTTGGGGAATATGTTAGCCCCCCCCCTCCAGCTCTTCTGCAGTTAGTTTTGCTGGGGACTGAAAGATGTATGTGTGTGTGTGTGTGTGGGGGGGGTGCTTTTGTCGTTTGAAGCAGGAGAGTTTGTCCTTTTCTGTCTTTGCAAAAGCAAGAGTTTCATTTACTCCTAACAGAGCTGGTGACAGGGCTGGAAAAGCTCCAACCAAAACACTATTATAGCTGGTGTTAGCTTGGGAGTTTATTTGTGTGTGAGTGTTTGTGCGCTTTGTTCCCTGGAACTTTATGTATACAAAAGTCCACTTGTAAATGGGGGTGGGGGTAGGGGTGGCTGGGGAAAATTAGACCGGTGGGGGTGTTCAAGGTTGTGAAATCTCCCTTTCTTTTCAAGTAGCTTCTTGGGAGACTGCTAAGTTGCATGTCAGTCACAACTCAGGCAGCGGAGGGAGCAAGGAAAGTTCTGCATTTTGCAGTGTGGGCTTTCGGAGTGGCTGCATACCTAGCTATGTTGTATGAGAGAAACTGTCGGGTGCTTGTTAAATACAAACACAGGCCAACCAGCATGAAAAGTGACAGCTAGGAGCCCTGCATTTGGGCTCTTCCTGGGCATTTTGGAGCTGGATGTTACCCTGTAGCTGCCTCTTACCAACAGAACTCTGTGCTGATGGATGCTTTCTTTTTGTGTTTTGTACCATTTCCACGAAGTCAGAAGTAGTCAAGGGAAATAGGAGCTGAGAAGAGAAGCCATTCTTCAACTTTTTGGTAAATTGCATAGCACTTAGATTAGCATTTTCTTCCAGGCCTGTTATTCCCTGTCTTTTAGGGAAAGTGAAAAATTGCCAGGTCAACTGTATTATACCTCTCTCTCAGAACCTCCACAGTCTCCCCTCCTTAAGTGAGCTCTGGAAGAGAGTTTGCAGCCAGCACTGAAACTGGTGTGTGGTGGGGACCTTTCTCTCGCTTCTGCCTGCCCTTGCTAGCACTGGTGTACCTGACACACAGGCTTTGCCGTCTGCGTCTTAAAGGAAGCCTAGAATGTCTGTTTCTTTTCAATCAATCTGAGCTTCTAGACTTTTAAATTGAAGCAGCTAGGGTAAGATATGTGTGTGTGTGTGTGTGTGTGTGTGTGTGTATATATATATTTTTTTTTTACTAAGTTTGAGGAAAATTGGACTATTACCTTATTGACCAGACTGATTCATTGAAGCTTCTTCTAGGATGCATGCTAGAGAAAGAGAGAGATTGGTTATGTGTGTGTATCTGCCGGGCTAGTTATTTTGTGGGATCTAACCCCTCACTCAGTCTATCACCACTCCAAACCATCTGAACTAAGAGAAAATTGCCTTTGGATGCTTCGTGTCTAATTTGTTGTAATGGTAGATACTCCTAATTCATCATTCCGAATGCTGGTAAGAGACTAGTGTACTTTCCCTGAGATCGAATCTGGAAGAACTTTCGTCGGATGTAGAAGTCCTTAGAGGCCAGTGTATTTGATCATGGGCATGAATGTGGATGCACATGACTGGGGAGATTGTTCGGCTCGCATAGCTTAGGATGCACTTGACTCTTTGCCAGCGGTAGCCCCCGCCTATAGTCACCTCCTAAAGAAACGCTTTCATTCCTGCCTCCTTGTCAGTAAGTGACTGTGCTTAAAGGGGGAAAAAAAAAAGAGAAAAATCCAAGATCCGCTTTATTAAAAGGAAAAAGAGTTTAAGAGAGCTAGACATAAATTGAGTGGGAAGAACTCACTTTATTAAGGAGGAGAATGCCTTTGAAAAGAGGATGTCAACAGTTTCCTGTGGATATGGGCTTCCTGAGGAGACAATTAATCTCCACATATTTGGCATTTAGTTGCTTCCTGTTGAGTACATTGCTTAATTACTAAAGTAGTAAAAATGAATGATAGTTGAGATCACTGAGGATGATTTAGACAGAAGCACTGAAAATTCCAAGACTCCTTTGCCTTGGGAATCAATCAGAATTTTGGTAGTGGGAATGCGAAAGCACTTATGGCTTTGTGAGGACTTGGGAGAGAGTTACGGGTTGGGGGGCAAGTGGGTACAGCTCTCCCTGCCATTGCCCACACTAGCCATTTCCATTTGCTACCTTACCTGGGTGGCTCCCGCCTCAGCAGTCCTGCTTTTTCCCAGTGTACACGGTGGCCACTAGACAACCTCCTCCTTGCAGACTGGCAGGCGCACCTTCGGCCGCACTCACTGTCACCCTCAAGCCTCAGAGCAGGTGTTTCTGCTCGTCCAGAGTGACAGCCTTTCATCTGACTGCTCCCATGCAGTCTTTCCTAGCTTCTTCCCCCATTCTTAGATAAGTTCACACTCCCCATTCCAGGGTGCCAGTATTTGCCATTTTTCTTTTCTGCCTTAATACCATTTTCTTTATCTGAACCCTTTTCTCAGCCAGTTCTTTGGAGAAGCCTTTTCTGAACCAACCATTCCCCAATCTGAACCAGGACACTTCCCTCCCCACCCAGATGCCTTCTCTTAGAATACCTGTCCCTTTCCTGGCTGATACATACCACACTGGGTAATCTTTTCTTTCCAGGCTACAGGCTCCTGAGCAAAGGTGTCTTTCTTATTCTCTACTTCTGTCTCTATACCATAGAATAAGCAGAAGACTTGTTTATAAAGCTTCTTATTCTAATCACTTTGTCCAATTTTAGGTATTACTTATCCATCCTTTAAAGGGAAAGTTTCTTTAAAATACTTTCTGGTTGTTTGTATTTTCAAGACATCTCCTGGCTATGTAGCCTAGGCAAGCCCTGAACTCCTGTCTCAGCCTCCCATGTACTGGCATTACACATACATTCCAACACACCTGGCCATTAGATGTGCTTTCCCTGGTACCTTATCTTACTGAAATCTGGTGGCTTTTGTGTTTTGTTTTGTGGGATTTTTTTTCTTTTGTTTTCTTGGTTCATCATCCCATGAATTTGTCAAAATCATCAGTAACTCTCTACTCATTCTTTTATCCTTAAAAAAAAAAAAGCTAGTAATAATAAACAATAAATTTAAAGGCCAGTCAGATGGATCAGCCAATAAAGCTGAATGACCTGAGTTCAATCCCTGAAACTTCTGGGGAAAGAGAGAACCAATCCCTACAAGTTGCCCTTTGACCTCCACAACCTCTGTCCACCTCCCATGGCACATGTGTACACACACACATACCTCATAGAACATGTGATTGAAGCCACCACTACCACCAAGAAAGCACAACAGTGTTAGTACCAGGAATCAGCGTCTTCCCTGGTTCCTCTGATATTACCATCCCTTAATTTTTCTAGTGCTTTCATCATGCCTGCTGTATCTCCATGGTCAACTCCTCTAAGAACCACCTGTCTGTCAAGCTTCCGGGTAGATGATAGCTTTGAACAGGAACCTTCAGTTCAATAAGTCTAACAGGACCACACTCCTTCTGCCAATGCAGAGCTGATCTCTCTTCTGTGTTTCCACTGAATGCTACACCCCTCTTTTTGTACTCTGTTTTAGTAATCACTCCATCACTAGAATTCCAATGGCAAAGGGGCAACATAGTTTCTGTTATTGTAAACAAAATAATTGTTGGAAATTTTGAATAACAAATTCATTGTTAGACAGTTTGTCACTCTAACAAAATACCTGAGATAATTAACTTATATGGGAACATTTTTTTTTGTTGTTGTTACTGTTTGTTTATTGAAATAGGGTTTTACTATGTAGCCCTTTCCAGGCCTTAAATTCACTATGTGTGCCCCTGGGGGCCTTAAATCACTATCCTGTACCAGCCTCCTGGGTGCCAGGATTCCAGGAATGCACTTCTCTGGCTGAAGGGTTTATTTTTGACTCACAGTGTTAGACGTTTCAGGGCCTGATTGATGGGCCTCTTGCCTTGGATCTTTACTGATGGAAGTTTATCAGGAGGAAGGAAAACCATGGATGTGGTGGCCAGGAAGCTAAAGAGAGCAAGGGCAAGCGTGCTCTCCCCACCATGGGACCCTCCAGTTACTGGAAAACCCCACCATCTTCTAATTTTGCTATTGAGGACCTTTAAACCTAAGCCTGTGGGGGACCTTTGAGATCAAATCCACAGCGCCCACTAACAGGCTGGAAACCAGGCTCTCAGGAATGTATTAGGCAGCACAGTCAGATACCCAAGAACCGTCTGCTTAGGTTGCCACCACTGCGGTCGCCACCTCTGACTGTTCAGGTTTCTGTTACCGAGTACTTGGTCATCCTCAACCTTCAGAATTCCAGATATTAGCCATCTGCTTGGTCTAGGCTGGCTCTGCCCTTGCTGCTATGGGAGAGGGTACTTCTGATTCCAGTAATGATTGTGGGAAGTGCGAGTTTGGCTTCTTCAGTTGTGTCAAGGAAGGCTTCTCCCCAATGGGAAGTTGTTATTTGCCTTATCTCAGCCATAGCACTCTACCCCACCAGTTGCCCAGCAGCAGTCTGCTCAGCTACTTACTTCCTCATTCCTCTCAACAACCCTGTTTCCTTGCTTACGATCTCTCTCCGCCTCGTGGGTTCTGTCTCCATGTACGTGCACACACCCATTTTGCAGAAGATGCTCCTC